CAGTTCTAACTGTTGCTTCCTGTCCCACGTATAGGTTTCTCAGGAGATAGATAAGGTGGTCAGGCACTCCCATTTCTCTAAGAACTTGCCATACTTTGTTGTAGTCCACACAGTCAAAGGCTTTTGCATAGTCAATGAAGCTGAAGTAAATGTTTTTCTGGAACTCTTTGGCTTTCTCCATAATCCAGCACAAGTTAGCAATTTGGTCTCTAGTTCCTCTGCACCTTGGAAATGCAGCTTCTTAAGTCCCTGCAAATAAAATTCTTCTGATTGCTGGTGTAACCACTCATTTGCAGCATTAGTTGCCTCTAGAACACTCCCAAATCATTGTCCCTTTAGGTGCTTTTTGAGTTTTGGGAACAGATAATAGTCAGAAGGAGCCAGGTCGGGAGAATAGGCTGGATGGGGCATCACCTGAAAGCCTAAGGAGGTCAGTTTTGCATTGTTTCACCTGCAGTGTGTGACAAGGCGTTGTCATGCAACAGGATGAAACCTTTGGAGAGCTTTCCTCAACGTTTTTCCTTGATGTTTTTCCTCAGCTTTGTCAATAAAGCACAGTAATATTTTGCATTGATGGTTGAACCCTGTTGGAGGTAGTCTACCAGCAGAACTCCCTTCTTATCCTCAAAAATGTTGTCATTTGCTTCTGCACCGACCTTTGCACTTGGAACTTCTTTGGCCTGGGGGAACCACTGTGCCTCCATTCCTTAGACTCTTCCTTTGTCTCAGGATCATAACAGTAGATCCATGTCTCATCACCAGTTACCAGTTTGCCCAGGAAATCTGACTCATTTCTTGCAAAATGTTCCAAAACAGCCACCAATGACTCCACATGTTTCCTCTTTTGTTTGGTTGTGAAAAGTTTGGGGATCCACTTTGCTGCCAGCTTTCTCATTTCCAAGTTGTTGTGGATAATGGCACCAACTGATATTCTCAGATATATAGCAATACTTTTGGCTGATATTCAGCAGTCCTCCATGATCATGTCATGGATGGCTTTCACATTTGCAGGCACAGAGACAGAAACAGGCCTTCCACTGGGTTTCTCACTTTCTACACCGAAATGGCCAGTTTTAAAAATGACAACCCAATGTTTAACTGTTGTATATGAATGGCCACTGTCACCCATAGTTTTTTACATTTCATCATGGATCTGCTTTGCACCTTTCCCTTGGAGAAACAGGAACTTGATTTTGGTCCTATGCTCTTCCACACTGAACTTTTCTGGAGGTGCTGCTGTGTTCACTTTGGACCTGAACATGAAAGATAAGTTAAAATCATAGTAGTTGATTTTTGCACCATTGAAATTGGCCAATATAACCTGTAATTTATAGCTTCCTAGATCAATTATGTCTGGGAAAGGCTCAATACTTATCAGCACCCCCTTGCATGTGTGTGTTGTAAGTTGTTACTTTATTTCTTATAATACTTGTTACTAATTTATTGTATTTTTAAATATTTTGCTTAAAACAATAAAAATCTTATTTGAAGAAGAGTGGTATTGAAATATTTTAAATAAATGAATAGCTAATAATTGCCGTGGCCTATGACAATACCATGGGAACTTAGGAAGCTTCCTTAGATTAAGTCAGACTGTTTAACCCACTATCTTTGACCCTTGATTAGTAGAAGCTCACCAGGGTTTGGGGCAGGATTTTTTTTCCAAGCCCTATCTGGTGATTCCTAATATTCCCTGGTGGCCTCCCATCCTTGGATCAGTTTTGCCCATCCCTTTTGAAATCAGATGAGATTGGATATGTTAAGAATGGTACAATGAAATAATGAAATTCCATAATATTTCAATACAATTTCTTCTTTTCATTAAGACCTTGCATTCTATACAATTGCTCCATGCCTTGCATCTTTACTGTTACACTACAATATTGTCTGGTTACTTCTTGCTGCTGTAAAATGAGTGAGTAGGAATGCAGATGTCTCTTGTGCTAAGGCAGCACTCCACAAAATACTAGGGTAACAATGCAGTTAAGCCTAGCTATTACTTTATTCATGCCGCACTAAGAATAAAACACTCTCCCCTCTCTATCTGTAATGGCCATAATCAGGCCAAAAAAAAAATCTGCAAATTAAAGCAGGCTTTTCAAAGCCCTATTTTCCTTTGGTTCGTTTTAATGGTTTGATTCTATCAAGGTAAACAATGTTTTCAAAGCTAGGGAGGTAAGAGACCGTCATTCATTATGTGACTTCATCAGAACTATTACTTGAATATACTGAAAGTAAGTCTGTGGTCAGATGTTCACAGCCACGTAAAGACAATTTATTCAGAATAAGAACTCAAGATAAGAAGAATACACGGATGGGATGGTATAATTTAGTGAGAGCTACGAAAGATTTTTGGGTGCATTGGGGAATGAAAGAGAACAAGCAAGTCCTCTGGAACTTCTCCTACTCACTTAAATCATTGGCCATCCATAAACTGTTAAATGATCTGTATGAAGGAAGTAAGGAATGTGGATTAAAGATGAATACAGGAAAAGACTAAGCTGATGTACAGTCCCAAGTCAAGAAAATATCATCCTCATCAATGCTAGGATGGGAATGAGGTGGGGGGAAATTAAGGATCAGAAGAATACATTTATCTTTGCCAGTGCTTTCATTTGAAGGATTATAGTCACGAGAAGCAGATTAAAAGGCAACTCAAAGGCTTCAGAAATGTAGATATGAAAAGCAACCAACCTACCAAATATGCTTGAAGATAAAGGTATTCAATCACTATGTGTCTCCTGCCATAATATAGTTTTATGGAGCAGAAACCTAGGCAACAACAAAAAAGACAGAGCAAAGATTGAATATCCTGCCATAGCATGAAAAGGTATGTTAGCTTGACTTGTACAGAGTGATGGACAAATGGTTATGAAATTAGGCAAAATAGCTTGAGAAATGATGGTATGCTCAAATATTGGGAGAAACTAGATGGAGACAATTGCTTTAAGATGTTGAAACCTGAAGCTGGAAAAATAAAGGCAACTGAAAGAGTTTAGTGGCACTGCTGAGTGAAACAAGTATCTCTACTAGGTTCTATATAGGCCAGCATAATAAATATGGAAAGGAAGTCTTTGAATAGAATATACACTATTCCTTATCTTTATAAATAATATTTGCAGTTACAATCAGTGCTCAGAAGTGGTTCATGCATAATACAGTACAGAGAATTCTTATTTCTTGCTTTCTGTTTTAACAAAATGATCCTTGCCCATAAAGTCTTCTGGTATATCATAAAATAGGTCAAAAAGAAACTAAAATGAGTTGATAGGAAATACCTAATGTTTGTGGAAAACTAGACTGCTGAAAATATAGCAAAACAGCAAAAACAGAAAAGTGAGGGGAAATAAACACAAGAGAAAGCATATAAAGCAAGAATGTTATTTATGTATGCTAGACACATAGTCTTCATAAATTATGCTCAAAAAGAAAAAGGAAATAATGAATTAGATTTAGAAATCAAAAAATAAAGCCTAGTTTCATTGAACAGGTATTTTTGTGAAACAATTATGCTACAGACTCAAACAGAATTTACTTAAAAGATGGATGGCTATACAAATATGAATCATCATCAAAAAGCAAGATTTATTATGAGAACATGAACACTTTATTATGCAGTTTGATGTGATAGCAACAGAAAACAAATTCTACCAGGGATTCCCATGAAATCCAGATTCATTGTGCTGGTGTTTAAAGCCATTGTTTATTCTGCCATCTTGACTCAATAACACATATAACTAATACTCAGCTAGATCAAAGAACAGATTTTTAATTGGTGGGTAAAGTTTTTCTCCTGAGTGGCTCTTTTTCACAGTCTAAATCAGAGCAGAACCACCCATGGTTATCTTATGGTTGCAGTCACACGTCACACAAGAAACCATATGTTGAGCTAAAGTCTGTGAAGTGGGGCAGAGCTGAAGGCAGGTGGTAGCAAGCATTCAGAGTGTAAATGAACTTCATAAATTTTGTTGGATGGCATGGCTGGAAAACAGCTGGCAGCTTAGGGAGCTTTTATACATAAGGAAAGGTGGCAAAAAGGCTGAAATTGTGCATTTCAACACAACCCACCTGATTCTTTGGAGCCACAATGTGCCACGCACAGGTTACTCCTGCTGGATAATCTCGATCAGGCCAATTAGGGGTTTTAAAGGACCCAGAAGGCTTATCCAGTCGTCCACCACAGTACTGGTCTCCTAAAAATGCAAAACATAATGCTATCCATAAATTCCATATACAGTAGTTGAATTGTCCATCTCTTATAAAGCATTCCTTTGTATAGTCCTTTCGTCCAAACCCAACTGCAGTGACTAAATCACTACACTCTGCCAGCTGTCCTCCTGTCAATCTATTAGTAATTTTTTATAGAATGCAACGTGGTCAATTATTCCTACTATTCACTTCCCAGATAGGATTGATAACTTTTCCTTCTTGCAGTAAAAGGAAGAAGTTTCAGTTACCATCTTACTTCACTGGGTCTCATTATTTTTTCCAGTGCAATAGAGCAGCAAACTTAATTATCAGTTATCCACCTAAAATTATCAACTTGGATATTTAGCCTCTGCATGAGACTGAGCATGTCTTTCCAAAATGTATTTTTGAATTGCTATTATTTTTTTCAATAACTGTTAAATTTCAGCCAAGCACTTTATCCAAATGTACACCACAGTAATTCTGAAGTACAATTTTATCTCAGATTTCTTTAAGCATGTAAATATTTGTTTTGAGATATTGTACTTTTCTGGATGGCTAGCAAAAAACAGAACAAAACAAAAAACACAAAAAACAGCAGCTGTACATGAATCCCCTCAAATGTACAAAGATTGTTATATGAAAGTAGAAATGTACAGTATTTATTATTAAGAGCACCTAAAATACCTCTTTCATGCGGTTCTGCTGAAGAAAACTTTGCAACAAAGCCATTTCCAGCTGTATTTGCATCTGAAACCATTTGCACCAACATTTTATTACTGTTTGCCACAAGAGCACCAGGTCTCACAGTGCCACAGAACCTGCCGAGACGCTGTCCGTTGGCATGCCCGCTGTATACATCCACAAAATCGTACCGGCATAGGTTGTCATTTTCCAAGTCTAGGAACCTAAAGGACAGAACAACCACTTTCCCTTCAGGAACCTGCAGATAGAATGATAAAAACATTTAACAGGGGTAGACAACTTGCAGCCTGTGGGCCTCCTGTAGCCCTTCCAGAAGCTAAACATGACTTTCAGCACCTCCACACCCAATTTTTTAATACTGTGGAGAGAAAATTCCTCAAAAAGTCCCCTTGTGCCATCCAAGGGTCATGAGGGGTAATTTCCCCCCATGAGGATTCTTGCACCTCTTACCCCAACCCAAAACATTTCTAGACATTTTAAAAACATGTCCTGACCACTAGAAGGCACAAGTACAGTAGGACTCCTGTATTCATGGGGGATACATTCCAAAACCTACCACAGATGCTGGAAACTGCAGATAATAGTGAATCCTATATTAGTATAATCTTTGGTTCTCTGTTGTGACCAGTTCTAGTAATTCAATTGTAAACATGTATTTCTGGGCTTTTTCTTTAATATTTTAAGGTAGCGAATAAGTGAAATTATGCATACTGATCCAGTAGATATGGTGCTACTGTAATGCTATTTACTAACTGTTGCCTGGTACTACCTCTTATAGCATCATTCTTAAATTCTAATAATGTTGTCCTGTGTTCGACACTAATCTGAAAAGGCCTTCCGTTTATACAGTGAAGAAGCATTAAACATTACCTGGCACAATGGTCATATTTGCCAGGTCATGTGGCAATACAATAGGAAGGAGAGACAAGAGGGCCTTCTTAAATGAACAGTGCAAAGATATAGAGGAAAATAATAGAAAGGGAAAAGAGATCTGTTCAAGAAAACTGGAGATATTAAAGGAACATTTTGTGCAAAGGTGGACGTGATAAAGGACAAAAATGGTTGGGACCTCACAGAAGCAGAAGACATCAAGAAAAGGTGGTAAGAATACACAGAGGAATTATACCAGAAGGATCTGGATGTCCCGGATAACTCAGATAGTGTGGTAGTTGACCCTGAGCCAGACATCCTTGGAGAGTGAAGTGAAGTGAGTTGTTTTGTATTTTGGTTAAACTGAAATACATGAACATTGCTACTGCTCTGAAAATTACATCAGACTTACTTTTCCATTACTCTAGTAGACAGGACAAAATCTGAATGTCACAGATGTAGTTTATGAAAGTCTTATCTGAACCATACCAAGCCATGTACGTTAGCCAGAATGAGTACCTTATGGCAGGTATCCCCAGCCCCTGGTCTGCGGCCCGGTGCCAGTCCATGGCCACAGAGACAGATCTCCCCCCCCGCACACACTCCCCTCACGCAACCCAGGCTCTCCCGCCTGCATGCATGGGTGCCCCGCTCAACCATGCATGCGCGCGAGTGCATCCTGCCCACCTGTGAGTGCAGGGGGTGTCCCCCCCGCACATGGACCCTGCCCCTCCAACTGGTTTGCGGTTCAGAAAAGGTTGGGGACCACTGCCTTATGGCATACCCAGTGTTACTGGCTAGCAACTTCAGGGGGCTAGTGAGGACTGAAAGGATAGTCGAGCAACACCTAGAGGCTATATGTTGTCAACCCTTGATTTATAGAGAGAAACAGAATGCATTTTCTGTCACTTTTGTGGAACAATTTGCATTAACTGATGTTGGCTTGGCTCTGAAACAGCATTACTGAACACCTAGAGACCCTTGGGTACTGTGGGTGGCATATAAATTAATTAATTACATAAATAAATACAAAGATATATTTTTGTCAGCGTGGTCAGGCTCTGCAATTTTGTGATACTGTTTTTCCACACAAATATTTACTTATACCACGATTCTATATATCTATGTCAGCAAACCTCACCTCACTTATCAGAAACTGAACTATTTTCCATATGTTGAATTTAACTATTTAATATTTGTAACCATTTGAGCCAAAAGAATAATCTAAGTTCAATGAATTATTATTATGAATAATTTATTCTAATTTCTATCTCACCTGCCCATTCTGTAATGTTATGTATAGACAGACAAATGTCAATAAACTTAATATGTGATTAAGAATACTGCTCTCTTCTTTTACACCCCCTAATATCTCTTAGTACTCATTTCCTTGAGACTAAAATAGATTCTAACTCCAACTTCTCAATCTGTATTCAGAACCATGAATGAACAGAATAGTAGTCTACTGTTATACTGTATTGTTATTTGCTGCCATTCTTTCCCACACCTTGCTAAAGGATGTTTAATGTGGTATCAGTGGGCAATTCTGGCAAAGGGGTAAATTTGCTTACTACAATTAATTCAGAACATCTTCCAAAACATGCTTCTTGTCATTAATAGTTTAGTGGAATCAAAATTACAGTATATCTTTAAAGAACTTTGACATTATTGAAAATTATAGTCATATTACATTCCTATAAATTGTATATACGGAGTACTTTTAAACCATTCACCCTTAATGATGGAGGACTGTTAAGAAGGGGATTGTTTCAAGACCACTGGTATGCACTGCTTTGTGTTTTACGCTCTACAAATTGCTATGTGAAAGACAGTAACTGTAATAGCTGTGGTACTATCACATCTTTAGCATTCTGTCAAGGCTATAATGTTAAATGCTGAATGACTAGTTTCTATAGCTGGAGAATGAGAATGACCAGCTTCTATAGTTAGCAAAACAGAAGGCGGAACCATCTGACTGCAAAATATTATATTCTCATCCATCTTCATCAGCAAATCACAGCTCCTTTGCAGTCTGTTTAGTACCTGCTGATTAACTACTGTGTTACAAATACTGTTGTTGTATGTCATCAGGCTGTAACTGACACAGAGTGACCATAATGAGGTTTCCAAGGTAAGTGAGATATTTAAGGAGTGGTTTTACCAGTTATGCACCCCCAGTAAGTTTGCACAGTTCTAGACCCCCAATAAGTTTACACAATAGAGTAATAAATTGAATATTGTTGAAAAACAGTCATGACAATTGCTTTGTGTTTGGGTGAGAAATGGTTAACTGATCAAAAAAAGAGTTAGCTTTTTCCCTTGCGTGGGGTTACTTTGTAAAAAGTAGGGAGCGTAAGAGGGTATCCAGGCCATCTTGACTACTGCCATGGGTGTTGTCAACATTCAGGCTTCCCTTTGCTATGTAAAGTTTGGCACCTTTTCTCCTGCTGGCAATGCAGTAGAGCAAATCAGTGCTGCTCTAGTAAGCTTTTTAAAAAAACTTTGCTTCCTCTTTCTCTGCCCTTCCACAGAACAACAGAGGGAGTATTTAATTTCACAACATTATTATGTGGCTAAGCTTAATGGTACTGAGAAATTGAAAGCAGAATGGAAACTTAAAGCAGGAAGCTCCTCTTTGGTTCGATCCCACTGACCACACATGCTGGAAACAACCCAAAATAGAACAATCCTACCGGCACATGAAAAGTGACCCAGAAAGGTGTCAGTAGGACCGCTCTTGAGATGGGCTGGTTCGTGCTGGCATTTATGTTGTCTGGTCACCAGCCAAAGGAGCAAACCAGTCTGTTCCCACAGCAGACCAAACTTCAGAACAAACACCCAAATAATCACCCCCTTTTTACTCTGAAGATATCCCAAAAGAGTTATCTGTGATTGATCAAGAACAGGATTGGACAACTTGTGGCTCTCCAGAAACTGTTGGACTGGAATTCCCATCAGCACTACCGACCATAACCATACGTTAGGGATGATCCAGACAAAGGAAGACAACAAGCAGCATTCAGTATATATGAAGCATCTGCTCTTTTGTGCCTTGCCTACAGTTGGCGCCCCAAATTTGTCAGAAGAAACTGAATTAATTACTTTTCTTTAAAATCAAGGCATGCAATATATGCATGCCCTGTTTCAGAGCAGATCCCTGGACTCAGAAGCACTACTTTGTTCTACACCCTCCCGACACATCTTGGTCTTCAAGGCCAAAACGAAAAAAACTTTCTCCACAATTTGGTGATGCAGCAGCAGAAGCACAGTGAAGCCCCTAGTGGGGTGTCCTATGTGGCTGCCCATCCCTGGAAGGTCTCCTACTCCTGATCTAGTAGAAACCTGTGTCTCAAATCATACATGTGGGAGGTTCTTATATAAAAATTGACATCTCACAAAAACAGAAAATAGCCAGGAAGCCATCCATATTTGGCAAATATCTTTAAAGGTTTGCAGCCACTAATAACAGAGTAAGAGGGTCTGGTATTCATATTAACTAAGGGCATGTCTGTTTGAGGTTTATGGAGGAGAAATGCAGCAAGAGCCTGTTTAGTGGAACCTAACCATCCAGGTCACATGACTAGTATTACAACATATATTCCAAAACAGATTCTTGTTTAAGGTAGAGATCTGTTGGTAGTCTAGGTCTAAGCAAACATCAGAATATTTACTTCTCGTCACTGCTGATAGATTACTGATACACTGCCAATTTATTTTCACAGACACACATCACATAATTCTAACTACCAGCAACCTAAAAATATTGCATGTTACTGCTTTCAATGTATCTTTGACACCAAAAATACTTACCGTGATCTTCCAAGTACATTTGCTATTTGGAGGGTACACTCCTGGGAATCCTTCACTCCCAATAAATCCTGAGGCTGCAGTAAGAGTACCACCACATTTAAAAGACCTGAGAAACAAGGAAAACTGCTTTCATTTTTGTTTGTGAAACTCGGGCTAACATTTAGTATACCATTGACAAAATGCACAGAGCATCCATGAAAAGCAGTAAAAATATTTTACAATAGTAGTGAATTTAATAACCGGAATTAGCTTGCTGGATATTTCAGTAGTTTAGGTATCCGGATGTAGAGCCAGAGGTTGGACATTCAATTCCACATTGTGCCTCCTGGGAGAAGAATCAGCCTGGGTCCCCATCAAAATAAAAATTACAGATACAGGGGAGTCCTGGGTCCAAAAGACTGTGTTAGCTATATTCCATGCTTTTCAGTATCCAAAAGCGGGCTTGGAATGGATCCCCCATGGATACAGGGTCCTACTACTGTATATATATTTTCCATATAGGAAACCCAAATAGTTCAATTTTTGAGCTAAATTTTGTATGGTTATCAAACATCAGAAACTATTTACAGATATAACAGTAATAATTGTACACATTTGTCCAATGATTTTGTCCAAACTATTCAAAGTACCTCATAGACACTGGTTGTATTGGGATGTAATAGCAGGTCATGGGCCAGACATGGCAGTAGGCAGTAACTCGTGGTGGCAAATAACTAGACATAGCTGCAGTCATCAGTAAGCAGGGCCCGGGGTGTAAGTAAACATGGGCAGAATGAATACATGCCAACATTAAGTGATACAATCAACCAGTCTATTTATATGCACACATACACCTCTGCTCACTTGCACACAGCTTCACATACAATTATGGATATCCTAACACATGAGGAAAGAAAAGTTAAATCTTTCCTTCCTATGCACTGTACTCTCCATCACCAGGTTTCATACTAGTAACAGCATTTTTAGCAAAATTATACTGGATTTCCATTTTGGTACTTAGGGTTGAGGGTTCGATAGTTTGCCTATGATTGGATTTGAACTGCTATCTTTCCAGCCAGATGCCACTGAGTTATTAATTTTTTTACACTGCAAGTAAAATAGTCATTTGGTAAATGAGTAGGTTAATGAAAATTTAAAAGGCAGAGTGATCTAATTAACTGATATTAATTGTGAAATTTGGCAGGATAATGGAATTCAGTAGAGTGCTAGGGTTAGGGTTACACATGAGCAACATGTGGCCAACAGATAGTTCACAAATGCTTTAGTCTTACAAGAATAAGTCTAGCTTTCACCAGGCTTGCATATGCTACACTTCCCCTTAAATCAACTACAGGCTAACATAACATTGAAAGTGTAGTTAAGATTAAGATTAACCATAGTTAGTGGTAACAACCCATATGGATAGTAAAAACAAGCTAGTTTCATGAACTATGGTTTGAAGTTGTGTTTTTCCTACTTACTATAGTATAGTATAATGATAGCTTTTTGATGTTTGCAGCAAGTTGCAATTAATGAAAATCACAAACAAAACCTTCCAAAGTTCTCTTCCTGGCTGTGCCAGAGGCAGAAGGGAAAGCAAGGAAGATGGGTGAAAAAAAAATAGGCTTTTTTCTTAACATTAAATGATACTTATTTATTTTATATCCAAACTACCGCTCCCCTACAATATGACAAAAAGCCTGGTATTATTATTCCCTTTTGATAGGTGGGAACAAAAAGAACAATGGCTTTTTAATGCCAAAATAGCAACCCAGGTTGCGGCTGTTGATAGCCCAGCATTTCCTAATTCCTGTAGAACACCAGTATCAGAGACCAGCATCATAATGGTTTGACTTTTGCTACTTTGCTGACTCTTACACTTGTCAACAAAGCTCTGTGTAATCTCTACTAGGATACATTTTGTGATCTGTATGGTGTATGCATTTCAATATGTTTGCTTCATTTTGATAATTCTGTTTCATAAGGAGAGTAAAAGAATGAGACACAACATTAAAGCATCACAACTGACTGCCCTGCCCCACCCCTAAATCAGACTGACCTTGCTCTGGCTTCAGAAATGTAATAGGACTTTACAAATCTCAAAAACCATTCTATATTCAAGTAAGTGAAAATCTTATTGTCTAAGAACAAATGAAATTATCAGACTGGTGTATCTCTGTAAGTACCCTTCTGTGCGTGTTGTACCTTGACATCAGATCACAAAAGGTTCTGTGCCTGCTCTGGAATGCTGCTTTGTGAAATACAACACACTGTTATCCTCAGAAATTAATTAAAGACATATGGGGAGAAAACTAAATGAGGACAACTGTACTAGTCTTCAGAGGGAAAGTCATTTATGCTGTATCAGTATATAACTGGTTTATTTCATTCTCAGCCTTTATTAGATTACAATGTACCACTTCCTTAGGCATATCGAATGTTTGAATTCCATGAAAGCTCTGACTGAAATAAATCTGTCAATATTAAAGGGACTGCAATGCTTTTTAAACAAACAAACAATCAAATGTGGATTAAGGGAAACAGAGTTGTCTGAGCAAAATATGGTGAAGAAATATCTTGTAATGAGAGACAGATGTATTAAGCATTCATATATTGATTTAAGAAAGAAAGCACAAATTTAGAAGCAGCATTCAGTGGCCAAAATCCTGTTGCTTAGCATTGTAAATGACAAGTAGACGCACTGAATCAAAGGGGACTTGGTGAGTCAATTCCTCCATAAGTTCCAGATTCAAATAGGCCTTCTTTAACAGCAATAATTAGGGTGTGTTCGCACTGGCAATTTGAATCTATTCCTATTCCACATTATTAAATATCAGGTTAAAGTCATGTGGTATATAAAGCATTCAGTTCACTTTTGACTGAAATGAAATCAAATTATTTCTGGTAATTAAAACCAATTTGGGGGCTACACTGAAACTGACTCATTTCCTTTCTGTTTTAGCAGCACCCTGTTCTTAAAGAGTTTGACTTTTTTTTTTTCAAACATGGAAGTACTATATTACTAAATCAAGTGTCTACAAGGTGACCCCTGGCATCATAATAGTTCCCAGAAATTGCGAGGGGAACACTGGAGAAGTGACCATAGCTAATTAATAATAGAAAAATTGGAATGGGGCGAGGGAGGCTTCCAGCAGCTTCAACAGCAAGGGAGCCAATGCTGGAGTCTCGGCCCCTGCACCACATTCCTGGATGTGGCTTCTTGGAGGAGGGGAAATGGTCTGCAGTTTGCAATCACACCATAGCTCTGTGCCCCCTCTGTGCCTGATGGTTTTCCGTTGCTCCGCTGGCACCTTCATTGGCCAAACAGAGAGAGAAAGGGGTAAGTGGTTTTAATGCCAAAGGTATTGATGAAGTGATGCTGTAATAAACATTTTAGGAATTTTTTTTTAATTGAAAGGAAAAACAGTGGTCCCCTTGCAACCTAAAATCCACTTTTCAGCTCATATAAATCAATTTCAGCCGTGTGTCATGTAAATCAATTTAAATAATGCTTAAATTGATTTAACTGTGGTTCTTCTTGACAGTGAGACCGCACCCTAAGTTGCATTTGAACCAATGGAACTTACTAATTGACTAATCAAACCCCCTATTAATTCAGTGGGCCTACTTTAATGCAACTTACTATATTAAACAACAGGCTTTTGGCCAATTTGTTTAGGTGATGTGACACTTCATAAGCACCAGTAGTGTAGTGAAGAGTAAGGTGAACATTTCCTGTATCAGGACAGAGAGATAGTATGGACATAATCAGAACCTGGAAACATTACATTTTTAGGACCACAACTCCCAGAATACAGAGTCAATACCAGAGTCATTCCCTTCCCCCCACCCCAATGCTAACCTTAATATTACAATTCTGGACATAGATATACACGTTTCGCAGTTGAGACCAACAGTCTCCAAACATTAAGAGAGAGAGAGAGAGAGAGAGAGAGAGAGAGAGAGAGAGAGAGAGAGAGAGAGAAAGAGAGAAAGAGAGAGAGAAGAGAGAGAGAGAGAGAGGTGAAATGAAAAGAAAAAACAAAAACAGATTGTATGGGTGGGTGGAGCAGCCACAGCAAAATCACTATGATTCACCCAACTATATTAGGAACAGAAGATGACATAGATTGAGAAGACTGTTGACTCATGGCTACTGAATCTGGAACAAGCCCAGAGAGGGTAAAGATGATGGTAAAGGGTCTGGAAACCAAGCTCTGTAATGAACAGTTGAAGGAGATGAGCATATTTCACCCTTAAAAAAGATGGCTATGTTAAATCTTTAATGGGAATCCCAGATTGCAGATATGACCAGATCAGCTTTTAACTAACTGAGGCTGATTGCCCAATTACACCCCTACCTGGACAGCAGGAGAAAGGCTGAAGATGCTGGTGCATGTGCTGGTGATCTCGAAGATCGACTACTATAATGCTCTTTACATGGGGCTTCCCTTGAAGGTGACCCAGAAACTTCAGCAGGTGTAAAAGGCAGCTGCCAGGCTGATGTTGAGTGTGAACAAGTTCAGTCATATCTCCCTTGCACTGGCTGCCGCTGTTGTTCCAGGCCACGTTCAAGTTTTTGATTCTTACCTATAAAGTCCTTCACAGTTTGGGACCTTGCTAGTTATTGGAGTGTTTTTCCTTATCAGCCCACTCCACCCAATCCAACCATGAGTCTATGCTCTCATGGGTTGTCATGCTGAGAGAGGCCAGGAAGATATTTACAGGAAACTGAGCTGTCTCAGTTATGGTGTCATCTCTATGGAATGGGCTCTCATTTAATCTGTGCCTGAGCCCCTCCCTCTCAGCCTTTGAGGGGATGCTCAAAACTAGGTCATTCAAAGAAGCCTTTAAGGACATCCTCTTAAATTTTTGTTATATTTATGCGACTATCTTGCCATCATCTGGGTTTGTTTAGTTTTATACTTAGATCTATTGATTTTCTTTTCTCATTAATTGGACTATTTGTTTTATCTCTATGATTTGTTTTGTTTTGTATTGTGATTACATTGCTGTGTTTGGATTCCTTTGATGTAAACTGCCCAGAATAGTGCCTAGCAGTGATTGGGCAGTATATAAGCCTGTGAAATAAATACCGTAAATAATAGCCATCTTTAAATATTAGTAGGCCAGTTCCATGGAAGACAGAGCAAGCCTGTTTTCTGCAGATCCAGATGTTTGGACCTAACTCAATGCATTCAAATTACAAGAAAGGAAAATGCAACTAATTATTATGAAGAACTTCCTTACAGTAAGAGTTGCTTGACAATGGGGCGGGCAACCTCAAAAGCTTGTGGACTCTTCTTCATTAGATACTTTTAAACAGAGGTCAGGTTGTCATTTGTCAGGGAAGGTTTGGTTGTGGATTTCCTGCTTTTCAGGGGCCTAGACTCAATGACCCTTGTGGACCTGGTCAGCTGTATTGGTCTATAATTCTGTGAAGGCATATCCTGTATCAAGCAATGTGCTGACTTTAGACTTATGTAATTTACTTTTTAAAAATTAAAATCCTCATGGTGCAGTTAGTCTTTGAAAAGCACAATGCAAGAGTCAGCATCAGTTAGGACCTAAAGCATGTCTAATAGGAGGTGAAGGCAGACAAATATACCAAGCATGAATACATCAATCTGAACACATATTATTTGCCTGTAAAACAATGCCTCAGAATTCGATGGCTATGTCTTTGAACCACACTCATTACATTTCAGAATGTTTGTCGAAGTGGGTTTACACAACTTCACTGTACACATTATAAAATGTGATTATAGGGCTACCTTTTTACAGGGATGAACCCTACACACAAATGTTGTTATACACATAGACCCCCTTCATTGAGGAGTCAAATGCATAGCCACCAAGGAACATAGCTGGTGCATCTTGTAAACTCTTCAGATATGCTTTAATCCGTCAAATCCATGAACTCATTAACACAAGTAAAAGCTACTTCAACCACATAATAGTGAATTTAGGTTGCAAGTTCAAACAGAATTGAGGCCTCTGATAAGAGAAATCAGCACGCTTGTGGGAAACCACAAGGAACAGCAGAAGTAGATGACATGTTTAAAAACAAAGGGACAATCGACCCACCCACTGAAAACATGCTGAATAATCATTTAATGGCTGAAATCTAGTAGTAAGTCACAACTAGAGGAGACCTACTGGGTCACTGGACTTTTTGGAGGACTTGACTTGAGTCAATGGACCTATTCTAGTTGAGATTTACTAGTGGATTTCTGCCAGTATTTAATCAGGGCTAGGAAAAGAAAACTGGGCAAACAAACATAATAGAGTATCCAGGAGGAGGTTACGGCTGCTGGGACCACAACCTCGCACTTTTAGTAGAAACAGGACTGCACTGCAACATTTTGTTATGGGTACTGATTGTACATGTCTGCCTTGCAGTATGTGTGTGCGTGTGTGTGGGTGTGTGTGCGCGCGTGCTATAAGCCTTCTGCCACCTTTGGCCTCTAAACACACTATGCAGTAAAACTGAGTAATGCTCAGCTTCCCACCTGAAGGTGTACCCTTTTCCCCTTCACATCTGTATGGGGAAAATGTCATGCAAAGCAACCCTCAAAAAAATTCACCTTTCCTTAAAGATGGAATTTTGCAGTTGGCCCACTCAGAGATTTCTGAGATGGAACACTACGTGTGTAAATGTCAGGACAGGCCCTATCACTAAAACCAGTGATATAATAGCAGCAGATGCAGGGGAGGGGGTAATGGTGGTGGTCCTCTAAACTCTTCCTCTCAAACTTCCTGGCTGTGTTCCTCATTTGGAGGAAAGACCTTTGTATACCACATAATCTGACCTGAACTTGCTAAAACAGTCTCTGGTCTTAGCTGTAGAAATAAAACTTCAACTGCTATTGCAGCCAATTTCTGTATAGGGAATGACAACGAAGTGCCTCTTCCTCATCTACCTTTGACACCAAAAGGCTACTAAATGTGCAGCACGTATATGCTATGGAACCATGCCTTATCCTTTGCTCTCTAGCATATTTCTGTCTCTGCCCCCCATGTGTTTGCAGATGCTTCCCCTTCAAACATCATTCTGTTTACATAGCACCACTGGGGCGAACAAGCAGCAAACCTGGATGTCAGATGCATGTGAATCTGTTCTCTTCTAGAATGAACAGAATACAGTAGTGTCCTCTTTTTCAGAAACCAAATTTGTATAAACCCCTGCTAAAATGAAAATCTCAGGTTTCTGTTTATGAAAAGTGCACTTTTCCACATGGTGTATCAATCATGTACTGTATTGTCACTTGGTCTAATCTGTTTCCTCATGACACATACATATATGAATAAATATAGCAGACATAGTATTTTGCAGTGCTTGTCTGAAGAAGTGGATTTTCATCCACCAAAGCCCAGGTTCCCATAAATCGGTTAGCCTTTTGCCTTCTCTCTCTTTACCCCCTTTTTTCTTTTTAATTTTTCCAACATTTTCACAGAGAACCGTAGCTCCTGCGTCCCTGCAACGTGAAAGGAAGCCACCCTCACTCCGTCGTGTAGAATTTGGATTTCTTATACACTCAGAAACACGTGTTCTGGTTCCTTCCAATCTTCTCTCGCATCTCCAGGGACTCGAGGTACCCACAGCGTGTCGCTCGCTCTCTGTCACACACTTGAGAAGGCTATATTTTGTTCTGTTTTCCCTGACTGCGACGCGGCGGGACACTTGTTCCCCCTCAGCGGAGCGGAATTCTGTTTTGTTTTTTTAAAAGCCCTGCTGGAAGCAAAGCGCTACAAAAAACGAAGGACCAGAAAGCAGAACTTTTAACCACGTGGAGGCGGGAAAAAGAGACAGAGAAAGAGAAAAGGCTGAGAAATGCTGTGGAGCCCCAGTTTGCTCCGAGTTCCCGCTACGCCAATATTGAGGGAGGCGGCAAGAGCGCGCGGGAACGGAGAGAGGTATCCTCGGGGCTGAGGGCGGTGGGTGGGTGGGGGGCTGGCGGCGCGCAAGCGGAACCATTAATTACGCTAGGAAGCAAGCAGATGGCGGGAGACCGTCTGCCCTTCGCAAAGGCTTTCTCTCCGGCGTGGCGGCCAGGCGCCGAACGGGGGCGAGCTAGTTACAGGGGTTACCTCGGTCTCTGCAGCTGCTTGTTGTCGAAGGGCTGAGCGGCTGTAAGCACCAGGAAGACGGCCACGGCCCAGGAGCACGAGAAGGCGGCTTCCCTCATTTTTGCCCCTTCGCCCCGGCGGCATCAGCTGGTGGGCAACGACGGCGTGGGGATGGACGAGCCACCTTTATAAAGCGGCTTGCAAGCGACGCTGCCCTTGGAGGAGTTACCCTTCGTGAATATCCCATTTGTTCCCGGAGGCAAGGGGAGGAGAGAATAGCGCGCCGGTCTCGGCCTCCGCCTCGTGATGGAATAGAGAGCTCTTGAGGCGGACCGTCAGCCCCTGGCGCGGCTGCACAGGCGAGCCGTTGAGTGGCCGAAGGCTTGCGGCTGCGGAGTTGCACCCTCCTGTAACTGGAGAAGGTGTGTTTAAAAGGCAGCTGCCCCGCTTCTTCTCTCTCCCTCTCCCCGTCCTGGGAAGGCAGCAACGCTGCTCACAAGTTCCTGACGGGCATTATGGCTTGTGACAGGGGCGGAGGGGCGGGGAAGGAACATCATTGCCTCAGACATTGGGATGAGGCGGCCCCTGCCCTTGTCCATAAGCAGTCCATGCTTACCGGGCTGTAAAAAGAAAGCGCCTCAAGATGCCGTTCTTTGCTAGCTTAGTTCACTGCTAGGCTAGGGCATAAACAGACATTTTGTTGTTTAGTCGTTAAATCGTGTCCGACTCTTCGTGACCCCATGGACCAGAACTCGCCAGGCCCTCCTGTCTTCCACTGCCTCCCGGAGTTGGGTCACATTCATGTTGGTAGCTTCGATGACACTGTCCATCCATCTCATCCTCTGTCGTCCCCTTCTCCTCTTGCCTTCACACTTTCCCAACATCAAAGTCTTTTCCAAGGAGTCTTCTCTTCCTCATGAGATGGCCAAAGTATTGAAGCCTCAGCTTCAGGATCTGTCCTTCCAGTGAGTTATTGGGGGTTGATTGCTTTCTAAATGTTTTCTTTGCAGTCCAGGGGACTCTCAAGAGTCTCCTCCAGTACCACAATTCAAAAGCATCCGTTCTTCAGCAGTCAGCCTTCTTTATGGTCCAGCTCTCACTTCCATACATCATTCCTGGAAAAACCATAGCTTTGACTATGCGGACCTTGGTCAACAAGGTGATGTCTATGCTTTTTAAGATGCTGTCTAGGTTTCTCATTGCTTTCCTCCCTAGAAGCAAGCGTCTTTTAATTTCGTGGCTGCTGTCACCATCTGCAGTGATCATGGACCCCAGGAAAGTAAAATCTGTTACTGCCTCCATATCTTCCCCTTCTGCCAGGAAGTGATGGGACCAGTGGCCATGATCTTAGTTTTTTTGATGTTGAGCTTCAGACCATTTTTTGCGCTCTCCTCTTTCACTCTCATTAAGAGGTTCTTTAATTCCTCCTCAATTTCTGCCATCTGAGTGGTATCATCTGCATATCGGAGGTTGTTGATATTCCGGCGATCTTAATATCGGCTTCGGATTCCTCCAGTCCGTCCTTTCGCATGATATATTCTGCATATAAGTTAAATAAGCAGGGAGACAATATACAGCCTTGTCGTACTTCTTTCCCAATTATGAACCAATCAGTTGTTCTATATCCAGTTCTAACTGTTGCTTCCTGTCTTACATATAGATTTCTCAGGAAACAGATAAGGCGGTCAGGCAGTCTCATTTCTTTAAGATCTTGCCATAGTTTGTTGTGGTTGGCACAGTCAAAGGCTTTTGTGTAGTCAGTGAAGCAGACGTAGACGTTTTTCTGGAACTCTGGCTTTCTCCATAATCCAGCACATGTTAGCAATTTGGTCTCTAGTTCCTCTGCCCCTTCGAAATCCAGCTTGTACTTCTGGGAGTTCTCGGTCCACATACTGCTGACGCCTGCCTTGCAGGATTTTGAGCATAAGCTTACTAGCGTGTGAAATGAGTGCAACAGACATTAGAGACAGCATATAACTGGAAAAGGGAAATGCCTAATGTGAACATCTGTGTGCCACAACAGGAGCTTCTGCCACTGGTGGGATTATGCAGACCCACTTGCTTTGTTTGGTAATTGGTGTTCAGGATTTAAGCATGGATTCCTGTGCCGTGTGATGTCACTGTCTCAGTCCCTTCTCTACAACATGAAAGTGTCCTCAGCATGGCTTCTCTCTACTGTTTCTTTGTGGCCTTAAAATGCCTGAGGGCCCCGTAAATTTATAGAGGATATACAGTATCAGGGAACAGCTACTGGCATGAGTCAAAGCTTAGAAAATGTTTGTGAAAAAGAACTAATTACATTTAGTAGAATTTAATGTTCTAGCTTTGTAACTTTTTGAAGTTTATCAGAAATAAATACTGTAGCTATTTTAGTAACTTAAAAAACAAGCATCTGGATGCCAGAAGTCTTTGCCTAATGATACAAAATACACTCTCCACTTGTCTACCACATTTGTTACTGCCACTCTCACAAGCAGAGTACAAGGTAGCTGCATAAGTCTATCCTTGACCCATGGGATCTGTTCCTCCTCCACCATTTAGAAAAGCTACATTCCTGAACGACAGAAGCAACTAAAACTATAACAATTACAGCACAAATGGAAGGATGTTGTGATTCATTGGCTGAAATCCTGTTGGCGCAGCTCTGATAATGCAAGACTGATGATGTCATCAACTGTAGCCTTTCACCACTAATTATAAACCTCAAATCCCTCCCCCCCCCCGCTCTTGGGGATCCCTTCGTCCTTGGGAAGCCTTTGAAGACCAGGGCACAGGGGGAGTCTTTAATGTCCAGAAATCATGACTGCCAATTCTGGTGGCAGGACAGGCAATGGAATTTTCAGACATTAAAAACTTCTATGGGATCCACCAACCTCTTCTCCAAGATCCCTTTTCAAATGAATCTGTTTATCTCTGCCAGTTCTCTTCACTGCCCAGCTTCCACATTTTTACACAATTATTAGGACTTCCATGGCATAGATGATCTTCACATTGGTCTCCAGTGATGCACCCTTGCACTTTTCTGGCTTCTGCGTAACTGCACTTCTGAGCCTCAATTGTCTTCTAATTTCTTGGTTGCGGCGTCTATGCGGATTGATAATTGAACTGTATAGAAAACATTTTAACATATCATCTTCCTTCTAACAGTAAAGTCATGTAGTCTCCTACTAATTCCTACTGTATGTGTGATGTTTATCTTCTTAATATTAGTATAATGATCTTTATACTATTTCTGGAATTTCTCTTCAGTGGTGAAATAACTCTGATGTGCCATTATACTGCATATTTGATTTAACCAGAATTTTTTAAATTTTCTTTATACAACTTGTCTTTTTTTTTTAATTCTAAAAAGGTAAAGGTAAAGGTTCCCCTTGACAATTTTTGTCCAGTCGTGTTCGACTCTAGGGGGCGGTGCTCATCCCCGTTTCCAAGCCATAGAGCCAGCGTTTTGTCCGAAGACAATCTTCCGTGGTCACATGGCCAGTGCGACTTAGACACAGAACGCATGTTTATCTTCTTAATATTAGTATAATGATCTTTATACTATTTCTGGAATTTCTCTTCAGTGGTAAAATAGCTGATATGCCATTATACTGCATATTTGATTTAACCAGAATTTTTTAAATTTTCTTTATACAACTTGTCTTTTTTTTTTTTAATTCTAGGAATGTAAAAATTAGCCAGTTTTGCATCATCAACTGGGGAATGTGCAACTGGGGAAATCATGCCCTTTTGACCAGATTTTGAGTTTTTCCTTTTTACAATGTAATTTTTATGCTTATGTTCATCTAATGGCTCTAAGCTGGGTGGAAATTGCTTTGTTTATTTTAATTGTACAAGTAGGTATTTGAAGCTTTGAGGCAGTACCTTTGGCAACATATTTCTTCATGGTCAATTATGTGTTTAAACTGAATTAGTTTTTCTTATCTACTTTCACTAAAATGTTCAGAAAAGCTTCCTTTTCCACAGGTAACAATGAATATGGTTATTTTAATGAACTCTTATTTGTAAATAATCATTCTCCTGGTCACCTGGAGTGACAAATAAGGCAACCAAACAGCAAAGATTTCATACAGTAAATTTGAATCCAGCATTGTGCCACAATTTCTACTATGGATATGTGTGGGCAGATGGGCTAGCATGTAATTTTTGCCAGTGCTTAAATATACTGGGCACATAATCCTGTACAAATTTGCTCAGAATTAAATCCATTTTTATTCAATTGCAACCAAATTACTTCTTCTCCAGATATGTAATTTAGAAGCATATACAGTGTATGTCATGTTTAAATGGCTCACTGCTAAGGTGGATAGCTGTTTACCGTTAGTTGAGCTTCTCACTGAGATAAAACATTCCAACTCAGTTAGAACATACTGGGATACAATAATGTGATCTCCATTATATTTCTTCATCGGAAGCCTTCTCTGTCTTGCTATTAGTGCTGTAGGAAATGTGAACACATAGTCTAACTCTGCAGAATACTTTTTATTTTAAAGACTTTGGAAGTATTAGAATTTAGTCCTAACTTCACATGGATATTCTAGGTAGGACTAATGTTGGATTTCTCACTTGTTATTAAGACAACAATAACCTTCTTATTGCAAGAACTGGAAAAGTTCACTTTATAGAAAATTAGAGCTCTTTAGATTGCCTTCTCTTGAAACTGAAAAGGGAACCTATTTGTGGGCTAACACTATTCAATGGATCTGACTCCCACAAGGATCCCTTGGTGTATTTTAATTGTATGCCACTACTGGGAAATTATTTGCTGTCAATCCAACAAAACTGAAAGACTAGCTGTTCATTTTAATGTTTACAGTACCTTTTAGAACAGTCATAAAATAGGTTGAAATTACAGAGCTAGTAGAGAACATCGTTTGATTATTCACAGAAATATAATCTACATAGTGCACTTCAGGGCAAGGTTTTCCACAATCCAATAAAACAAATTTCTTCTGAGCTCCTGAGGGAACCACCCTCACACAAGAGTAAATCTCTGCAGAATCTGAAAGGCGTAAGAGTTTTAAGTATTGCCACTAAGACTGAAATACAGTAATTATTTATTGGGGTGGAGCCGGTACAAATCAGAGTGGCTCATTTCTTAAAGATGAGCTAATTGTGCAATGTGTTCTGGAGTCTGCTCAAGTATACAGGGTAGAGAGAAAGGATGGAGCTACTAATTTTCTTCATGTAGAAGGTTCCAAATTGTGGCCATCCGTGTGATGCACAGAGGCCACAGTGAAGACCAGACGGTGGGTATGCTCTGGAACATGTTTTGATTTCCTTTTATGCTCCATTTATGATGCTGATTTCATCTAGAAGCTCCTGATAGTTTTGACTTGGGTGGCAGAGGATATGATTTAGAATAGCTGTTGGCAATCTTGGGTCCCCAGATGTTCTTTGATTAAACTCC